GATCCTGCAGATGTTCCTCCCCTTCGGCAACGTCATCTCCGCCAAGGTCTTCGTGGACAGGGCCACCAACCAGAGCAAGTGCTTCGGTAGGGACATGGGGACAATGGGGACACTGGTGACATTGGGGGCAACGGGGACGTTGGGGGCAATGGGGACAAGGGGGAAAATGGGGACATTGGGGACATTGGGGACAATGGGGATAATGGGAACTTTGGGGACAATGGGAACATTGGGCATAATGGGGACAGTGGGGACACTGGAGACAATGGGGACGTTGAGGATGTTGGTGACAATGGGGACATTGGGGACTTTGGGGACAATGGGGACATCAGGGACAATGGGGACATTGGGGGACATTGAAGACATTGGGGATAATGGGGACATTGGGTACATTGGGGACATTGGGTACAATGGGGATAATGGGGACTTTGGGGACAATGGGAACATTGGGCATAATGGGGACATTGGGGACACTGGAGACAATGGGGACGTTGCGGATGTTGGTGACAATGGGGACATTGGGGACAATGGGGACATCAGGGACAATGGGAACATTGGGGGCATTGAAGACATTGGGGATAATGGGGACATTGGGTACATTGGGGACACTGGGGACGTTGAGGATGTTGGTGACAATGGGGACATTGGGGACATTGGGGACATTGGGGACACTGGGGACACTGGGGACACTGGGGACATGGGGACACAGGGACAGAGGGACAATGGCGACATTGGGATGCGGGATGTGTGGATACTGGAGACATTGGGGACATTGGGATAGGGGGACATGGGGACAATGTCCCCAAATCCTCCATGTCCTTCATGTCCTCCATGTCCCCGTATTCCCGTGATGTCCCCAATGTCCCCACCCCCCTGGATGTCCCCGATGTCCCCGCAGGCTTCGTGAGCTTTGACAACCCCGCGAGCGCCCAGGCCGCCATCCAGGCCATGAACGGTTTCCAGATCGGGATGAAGCGGCTCAAGGTGCAGCTCAAGAGGCCCAAAGACGCCAACCGGCCCTACTGAGCCCGGTGAGACCCCCTGGGACCCTCTGGGACACCCCCAGGACACCCCTGCGACATCCCTAGGACACCCCTTGGACACCCTGGGACACCTCGGGGACACCCCTGGGACATCTTGGGACATCCCCAGGACCCTCAGGACCCCCTGGGACCCTCTGGGACACCCAGGACCCCCCGGGACATCCCTAGGACACCCCTTGGACATCCTGGAACCCTTTGGGACACCCTGAGACCGCCTGGGATCCCCTGGGACACCTCAGGGACACCCCTGGGACACCTCGGGGACACCCCTGGGACATCTTGGGACACCCCCAACCCCCAGGACTCTCAGGACCCCTGTCCTGACCCTCAGGACACCCTGAGATCCCCCAGGGCACCTCGGGGACACCCCTATGACACCCCTGGGACCCCCTGGAACTTCTCCAGGGATAGAAAACCCCCAGGGATCCCCTTGAGACCCCCCCAGGACCTCCCTTCAGAACTTCCCTTGACCCCCCATGACCCCCCCAGGGCTGGGAACCCCCCAAAACCCCCC